ATGTATACCTGTGTTCAAAAGATACGAGACACATTTTAAGTCAACACCATTCAATAATAATAAAATTTTTTCCTTTCGTCTTTAGGTTTTAAGGTAGATAATTGTTATTATTCTTAAAAAATGAAGAGAAATAATTTTATTATCTTTGAAATGAATTATTTTGAACCACCGACATGATTTCAATGTACAGAACAAATTCTGTTCTAAATTTATAAGCAAACAGATGTTGATGTTACCAAATGATAATTTAATTACCTAACATGTTATAATCAAACGATGCATAATTATCGGAACAAGTATTACGTTCGTTAAATTATGTAGACGCATTAACGCGTATGCATCATAGATTGTTAAAATCAAACTTTGTACCGAGATAGAATTACTGCTAAAACCTGTTTATAACGAATAACGAAAGAATTAACGATGCGGTAGATAATTGTAAGATTGTCTGCCGTTTCATTCGTATTCATGATAATTAAACAAAAGGAACAAGTTGCAAGTGTTATCATTCTTTACGTGATGATTACATTGACAAATGTTTACATTATAATTCATGAATGAATGAATGAATGAATACTATTGGAACAAGTGTTTCGTCGATTTACCTGTAAAATATTTTTTCACAAAGCAATCGTTGCAAGAAGAAATATTTATGGAAATTTGAAGCAGAGTTTTGAAAAGAAACCAGTATACAATCTCCAGTGGAAAATAACAAATTGAAAAGATGGTAATTAAAAATAAGATAAGGAGCAATAAAATAAAAAGTTGAACAGCAAAAGATTAAAAATAAGTTTCTGTTTGTTTGAAGTGGTAGATACCAGATTATTAACGTTGCTGTTGATTTGCTTCGTAAGTTATTCGAACAGTTTTCTGATCGAACCCGTTGTATAACGCAACACTATGATTTTATACTGGAAAGCGTAACGCCATTATTTTTAACTCGATCGCGTGATTTCATGATATTACGAGTGTATGCGTACACAGGCACACGCAGCAGCAAGTGTTAACATGATACTTCACTTAAAAGCCTGTAAATTGGCGCACACGTGGCAGTAATGTCCGCGATCACCACCAGAGGGACATTTGTGACACCTACACCCATGTACTTTCTCACAAGTCTTCGCCAAACTACCCATTCGTATACAAGAGAATTTAAAAAAAAAAGCCAGAAAAGTGGTGTAATTTTTATTTTATAGAAAAAGAATCTAACAGTAATTGCTAATAGAGAGAATCCCAATTTTAATTTAATTTTATATTTCATATTATTTTCATTTTCTAAATTTTAAACTAAAGCTATATTTTAGCTCTTCGACTCATCAATTGAATTATGTGAACATCAGTCCCTCTTACATATGCGAATGAGCAATAGTGGATAGGGGAGTTAGTCGACCCCTATTATTCACACATGCTCCTACATTCCACTCTTCCGCCTAAGTAATCAATGAAAGTATAGCTATATCACACGAACAAACCATGAAGAATACCACTGACGCTCTATAATTCCTCGCTTTTTAAAAAAACCCACCCCAAAGCCTCAAAGGGGTGAAATCATCGAGTGGCTACTATATCCTTCGACTACTGTATATAATTTTGGTCCATGGCATTGCCATTGATATTATGTTTAATTACGTTTATTACTTTCTAAAATTATATAACTGCTGTCGCAGAAATATCAAGGTGTTCGAACGATGCCTTGTGGCAGTTTCTTGCAACATTCCTTAACCTGGACGAAATGCTTTCTATTCCTTCCTTCTTATCTTTCTTCTGTAACACTCCTGCCATGATTAAGAATAAGATAGCTATTACATAAATATGTTACAATAATATGAAACTTTTTAGGATCGACAGGAAGAAGAGGTAAGATGCAACGTTTCCGCCTATGGTACCTTTAAACGTTCGAACTTAATTCGAAGGAAATAGAAATGGGGATTGAACAGGAACGATGGAAAAGGGAGGGCTGTTAGAGCCGAGGAGAAAGCAAGATATTTCCGCGCGAAAACGTCAGAACAGAAGCGAGCGGCGTGGAAGGAAACTGATTTTCCTCGGTCCGTCGAGGTGAAACGATTCGCAGAAATTGTGGAGGAGGCATAAATCCGACAAGCACGCTTTTATGCAAGGGCATTCTGAACATCTTCCTCGCGGTCCCCGATGTTTTTCCTACACACGACGGGAATAAAAATATTCCTCGACCAACCGAGTCAATTCCCCGTGAACTTTGACCCGTTCGACGCTTTCGACTAGAAAATAGGAAGCTCCAATTTCTTTTATCTAAATGTTACTTTCTTCCTTTTCACCAGTTGCATAAAATACAAATATAGAGGATTATTTATCAGACTTAATTAGAAAACTTATTCTAAAATAAAGTTCAGCCAAATATTTGGGAATGAAATGACGAAAAACAATAACGTTTTAAGATATTCCTATCGTTGTTCTACCCCGTTCGTGTTATTCGTATCGGGTTCCCTAATCCCAAAGTAACAGGTATCGAGTTTCATAAACCGTGAGTTGTTTATATCGGATTCCATGATCGCGGGGTTGTTACCATTAAATCCTATAACACCGGGTCGTACGTATATCCGTTTGCAAGATTCTTGGGGTCGTTGGTGTCGTATCCCACGACCCGCGGGGTTACCTTCTATCGTTCGAGTACACAAAGTGTAGCGAGATCAAAAATATCGACGAAAAGGTATGCGGCGGTGGATGTAGCTGGGCTGCACCCACACCCTTGGCCACGTGAGAAACGCCAAAGGAACTGTGCAAGAAATCCTTTCTCCGTACACGACCTCGATTTAATATCGTGCTCAAGGAACTTTTCTTAAGTGCACGTTGCCAGACTGCTCTGATTGCTCGGTATGACGTCGATTATCTCAATACCGGTTAGCCAAAGGACCGATTAATTATCAAAACAGAGAATGAGTCACGCCATTTAACCCTGTTCTTGCGAGTTCACTCGAGACAAATTATTTTAAGGCGTGAAAATGTTTTTAAGTCTTAAAATAATTTATTTCTAAAAATTGGAATAAATATAAAATCTAAATATATTCAGTGACTGCAACTCCTCCAATACAGCAGAAATTAAATACATATCATTAATTAAATCCTAATTTAAAATTATCTGAACAAATAATTACATTTGCCATAAAATAAAACAGGTGAAAAAGTTTTATCCCCTATCGCATCCACTATTCCTGAAACACCTGTTTCGCTTTTCCCGTTTCTTTCTCGCGTTCGCTCTTTTATTCATTGATTCTCGATTCTCCCGCATTTGTGGCAAGTTTGTGGCCCAGAATCGTATAAAACGTAGATATACAGCGCAAACAGGAAACAGAGCTTAACCTGGGCATCATCCCTCGCTAAGATACAACCGTTAGTACTCGTTGTTGGAAAAACATAACTCTAGCCGGAGAGAGAAGAATGGAAACTCGGAGAAACGACGCGGGAAAATTCCGGCATACTGTACTTTTACGAGGTGGTAAGGAAACGAAGCGTCGATAAACCTTTTATCAACCATTTTTCGGAAAAGCCAAGTTTTATTATAAAAATTGTATTATTATAATAATAATGGAGACTACAGTCTCCATATAAAAAGCTGAAGATAACTTTCATGCCTCGATAAAAATTAAGAGGAAACTAATTTTTATACCCGGATGATGAAATATTAAAATTTAATAGAGGTCGGAATTAATCAGAAATAAAATAAAGTAACCAAATGAATATGTAGCAACGAGAAATTCTAAAGGCTCTGATAAATGAACGAAGATAGCATATCGGATGCAATTCATGACCGGTAAACGTAATTCCGTCGGTGTTTTTTTCATTTCTCGCCGCGGTATATAACAAGGGTAGCAAATTAGCGAGAGGAACGAAATATCTCCCTTGATAGTTGACAACACGATGAAATTTCCGTGCACGCGACCGAATGAAAACGGCAGGACGAGGAGCGAGCTACTGCATAAAAATACAACCGCAAACGAACGGACAACGATAGAATCCGCCAAGATCACAAAAGCTACGGTATCGCGTATGCAGATGATGAAACGTCCATAGAAAAACTAGCCACGATTTATAGCTCTATGATTATGATACTTTTTAGCTTGTGGTTCGAACAACTGTAATAATTATTTGAATCTGCACAAAAACAACCTTGTTGAATTTAGATCGTCAGTTGAGGTGACTGTGCTATTTGTGATTTAAATTAGTGGATCAGAGCCAAGTTGAAATTAAAATTTAAGTATGCAGTCAAATAGCACGAACTTCCTTTTTTGGAACGCTCTGTGTATGAAAAAAAAAACAGGAGATATAATAATTTATCGTTTTTTATATTCATATACGGAATGTTCCAAAAAAGGATTATACAATCTAAAAATCAAGCATGCTCCAGTTCTCCGAAGTAGAATCTCCAATGTGTGATTGAATACAATTTTATCCGTAACACGTATTAAATTACAAGCGAGCTGAACTCGAAAATCAGTTACCCATCATCGAAACTATGTCAATTCAAAGCAATCCCCGTAAAAGTTTTATAATGGATTTTGATCGGCGATCGATAAACAGGTACCTACAATTGAGTTGAACGTACACGAAGACCGTATTCAAATTACGTGCTTAATTGAGAACTGTTTGGTAGAAGTGACTTGGGCGCGATGGTGAAGATAAAAGCTCTTTAAATGCTCAATTAATAGTGCTCTTAATTAACGCGAGTATGTACACTATCGCTCAAAAGTATCCGGATAGTAATTAAATCACAAACCTGTACAAATTTTCAAACACCTATCCATTTTAGTAGGATAGTTGTCTCTAACCATTTTTCTACCCTTAATTAATATTTTTTTAATAATGTGACTAATTCAACTGAAGAATAATTTACCCACGATTATTTTTATTATTTTCCTTCATCTGTTTGATGAATAATTCTTGAAAGTTTGTACTCAGTAATTGTGGAATTTCTATTTTAACTATGCGGTACGGTTTGAAATAAATTGGGAGGAATCATCGCTCACCTGTCCGTAGTTGTCGAACCCGTGTCTCTCGGCGATCTCGGATGCAGCGTCCAGACCATCCGGCACATGGACCGCAAACTGATTGGTGTAAATCGGCGATGATCGTGATCGTGGTTCGGCTTTTGACTTCACTAAGGCACCGATCAGCAACACCAACACGCACAACGTGCTCGTTTGGACGATCATCTCGTCGACGATCAAATAGGACGATAAAAGAGAGACAAATACCTAAACACCGATGTTCACCGTTCGCGATCGAACACTAACGATAAGAATACAACGACAGAAACGCGATTTTTCATTAATTTAATTATTTTCGAACATCGCCGTGAACTTCTCGACGTGTCGGACGACGAGAAGGAGGAACAAGGATACTGTGTTACGTTTAAAACAAAATTACGATTAATTGAAACGCGACGCGACACGACACTGTGTTTGATCACTTTGATCACACTGACCGATCATCGGCTCTTCTGATGGATGTATCTGTAATTAAAACGAAAGAGAAAAAATTAAAAATGCTGATGTTACTTGGCGGACATTCTGGTCACGATATCGGAAGGATGTTGGTAGAATCCTTGCGGTATGCTGATATTAATTATCGCCAAGTGGACTTTCCAAAGCCGGATACTTGACTTATTAGCATTTTTATGGTTATTTATGATAATGCAGAATGATTCAACTTGGACAGAATATTCTAAGAGAGTGTTAATCAAATTTTTATTTCCCAATTTTTTGAACAATTTATTGCGACGCTAATAGAATAATAACAAATGTTTGCCGAAGACTAAACATATGATGCTTTTTAAATTCATTGTGTGTTATTTAAATTGGCTAGAAGGGCGAATTTATGTGCCGTTTCGTTTTAAGGAATAAGCCTCTTTCTCGGTGCTGTCCTATTTATCATACCAAAGGATTTTAGTGAGTCTTAAAGTACGAAGAATGGGTCTTGCTGTTATTTTTGATAACCTTGAAGAAGATAACGTACGATATCTTACTTCGCCCATAATGAATACCAAATATTCTTCCACATAATAAGTATCAAAACGGGGTAAAAATAAGACACGTTGAAAATTCGAATGATCGAAGGGAAAAATTGGAAAAAGAAAGGTTCGAATATACTATTTTCACCCGTACAATCGTTATCGACTACTGGAACTTGCTGAGCTCGAATTGGATAAAAACAATTACACAGAAAATTGCGAGAAAATGCCAATTCGAGAAGTTGAAAAATCTTTTCCCTTGTATTTTCTTCGTGTCAAGCCCTGCGTAACCCAGATCAGGAAACTTGATAAAATCAAAAAACACCCATGCTGGTATTCGCTTCTTTCTCGTGCCACGTACAGAGAAGAGCGTGCTTCGAAGGATTTCGAAAACTGAATTAAAGCTCGTCGATAGAAGTCACTCGGTTCGAGAGACCTTAGCAGAATTGGAACCCAGAGACAAGGGGTCAGAAATATAACGTCCAAGCTATTGTGTTCGAGGGGATAGAAAAAATATCAGGGCAATTTACAAAAGTGTCTGGAATTACATAAGCACTTGACTTTTATAGGCACCCCCGATGGATAATCGGTTTTCAACTCCTTAATTTCATACGTTGAAAGAATAACTTTTCAAAGGAACAGTGTAAAATTTAGAAAATGAAAATAATATAAAATACAAAATTGAATTAAAATCCGCCGTCCGAGGGTTACAACCCTTTCACTAAGGGATGTTTATTGAAAGGGGGTTGAAAGCGACATCTGTTAATTGCTTTAAGGATTAATATGGCCGATAAGGCTGCGACTGTTCTGAACGAATGAGAAAGAGATAAGGAAAAGCGACAAAGATTTCAAGAAGAAATAAAGAGAACTTTTACTACACAGTATATCGGCGTTAATTTCCTTCCCCTTTTCACACAATTACCAAGGTTCCATTATTTTCGGACAATCTGTAGGGTACATCGTTGGACGTGGATGAACGGGTGATCGTTGAGGAACCGATACACCGGTAAACACTCATATAAGTAGTAGAATTGATCGGAATCGAGATTGCTACGGTCCGAATTTGACAGAACTGTAGTCGAATTCGTTAGCGGAGCGAAGGAAATATCGTTGGGTACGGTCGATGATCTAATTTCACTCGCAAACTATCCGAGCGAATGTGTATTCGCGGATAGTTCGGCAAGTAGTAGTAAGTTGCGAGTCGCAGACAAGAGGAGAAGTCGATATACCTGGTCGTATTGTCGATAGTTACCGCGAAACGAGCGAAAGGCCGATCGAGTTCTACGACTGGCTTCGAGTTAACTGGATCCGCTCGCGAAATTGCTATCGCTATTGCTATTGCGAGCAACAGTTTAACAGGCAAATTGAAGTGACGCGTGAAATATGTGTGTTTCCGGTACCCTTTTCGCTCTTGCATCGATTTTCCCTTACCATCCATTTCCATTAATCGTTTTGTAAGGAAAAAAGAAACTTTGAGACAAATAGACAGATCATTAACTGACTGTTAATTAAGTACTGATGTTGACTATACAAAACTCAGGCCACGCTTGTAACGTAATAGCGTTTGGAATCATTAACTGAGACTACGTCCGAGTTGGGTTACACTATATCGCATTGCTTCGAGTGATTACCCTAATGCTCGTCCTTACTGACCTACGAGGTCATCGTGTTTAAAATCATTGCTCGAGTTAGGTTACAGTGTATCACATTATTCTGAGAGACTGTCTAATCATCCTTACTTGTAATACCAAGATATAATATCATCCTCGCTCGTTACATCATCGTGTTAGCAATCATTGGCTGAGTTAGGTTGCAATTTATCGCATTACCACGAAAGATTGCCCCAATGTTTGCTCTTACTGACCCACAACATCATATTCGCAATGATTGCCCGACACTGTAACCGAGCCTCTCTGCCCCCCGGGCAACGATGCATACCCATGAGGAACAGCGATCGAACATACCCGTCGTATAACATTATCTAACGAGTAATCGGATCGGTGACAAGCCCTAGAGTTACAGATGTCGTGGATGACGTCAGAATGGGGATATATTTAACCGGTGAAATGCCAATCTGTGACAAAAAGTCGTCAACATTTGCCCTAAAATCTTTGCAACACGTGCAATTATCCTTTTCCTAGGTCTTCCTCGGGGAATCTTCCAATTACAAGGCAGAAAACATAATGAACTCTGTACGATGTAGGCACCCGGTGATCGAATGAAACACGATTCGATTCTAATTACCCGCGGGAACGTGGAAGTTTGTCGCGTGAAATAAGCCACGAGGAACAGCTGCACGATATTTCTGTTCTAATTACGGAACAAGTTCGAGTAATTTAGCCGACGTCCATCAGCAAAGAAGAAGAAAAAAAAAAAGAAAAACGTTACCTCGATAAGACGTATCTGATTTGAACGCTCGGTTGGCTAACTTCGAGCCACACACCGAAATTACCGGGGGATTAAGGTGAAAATTGTAACACACAACCTCGCGATCGTGTGCGCTGTTACCTGTTTCGTTAAACGGTGGGTTGTGTGCTTTTTCTTTCCATGAAAAGAAAGAAAAAAGAACACGATGCTTGATAAGACGCTTCCACCATGACGATAAACTTCCAGGTACTGAAGTTGCTTGATATGAATTTATGAAATAGGCTAAACTTGCAAGAAATTAGGTACGAACTGACACGATGAAGTATGACGCGAGGTAACATGGACAAAATATCGAAGAAACTTTTTTTTTTCAATTGCAAATGACGAAGTGCAATGAATTTTCACACCTTCCACGGAAACAATGATGGTATCGAGTTTGTTTATAAGGTCAATCGCGATTGTATTTGCTTTTCAAGATAGAGAAAGTTGATAAAAGAAAATGCCAACTTCCTCTATTGTGATTTTTATCTCAAGTGCAACGAGGCTAATACGATATGCCGCTTATCTTCTCACGGAAGTATTCAGTTCTTATAATGGATACTAATGACTCATTATGTTGCATTTATAAATGCCTTTGAATCGTTGGACAACGGAGTCTGGATCAATCGAAATACGAATTCGCAAAACATGTATACAAGGGTATTAATTAAATTATAAGGAGTTGATTTAAATTATTATTATAATTTTTAGTAAAATAGTGTAACATTTAGAAAATAAAAATAATATGAAATAGAAAATTAGATTAAAATTGGGGCTCTCTCCATGGTCCGCCGTCCAACGTTTGATGGAGTTCAATAAAAAATAATAAAATCAAATAATTAATTAATTTCCCTCTTCTTATTCTTTAAAAATCAATCTTCTTCAATGATTAATGTAATTAAAAAGTACAATGAATATTAAATAATGAACTGAGCGATATTATGAAAATGTGAAATTATACAATCCCCAATTTATTGCACAAACCATATTCGAGACTAGTTGCACTTGATTCGTAACCTTTGCGAAAACTCGTTTCCTTACCAATCTAGGAAAAATAAACCAACATACCTAATTAAACACAGACTATTATAACACAGTCGCTAATGAAACACCTTCAGACGTACATATGTACCATTGCAAACACCAACTCGTACTCTCGTCGGTTCGGTAAACACACTTCTGTTTCAAAACTAACGGAGCATCTGGATGATACCGCGCGTAAACAGGGTTGACAAGTCGTTCGAACCGGAACCGGGTTTGAATGTTTTCTTTTCCTGGTTGTCGCAATCATTGAATTCCTGACGACGACCTTAGCGAGCGAAAGAAATGGAGCGAAATTGGTGGAAAAAACGGTGGCTACGTGTTCAGTGAACGAATCGCGATACCGTAATTAGTTTCGGATGAAAAAAGAGCGTTAATCGGGGCTAAAAAGTTTTTCAAGCCCGCATGATTAGAACGTGACAACGTGGGAGGGGGGTATATTTCTTTGAGGACGCTTCTAGCATACGATATACGCAATACGCACATCGACCGATGATTTTTCGCACGCCTGCCTGCCTGTGCCGAATAAACGCGGCCACGACTACGTGAAACGCCAACGCCGACCGCTATTGCTTTCACAGCATTTTTTCCCCCTACGCTGCAAAGCGACGCGTGCAACGCGTACGTACGTGAATTGCGGTTAACCTGTATTTTCGACGAAAGTGAAAGAACAGAGATCAACGACTCCTAACCGAGGAGAAATTCACCAAAGAACATCGGGCGTTGGAGTGATTTTAGTCAATGCTCCGATCCACGAAAGAAAGAAGGGAAAAAGAGGAATATGGAGAAGTTTCGCGAAGAGAAAGTTGCTGTTACACGAGGACGCAACGGTGTCAGCTGACGGAAACAAAGGCCGCGAGAGGCGTGCAATCGGTCATCGGAGAGGACGGTCCAATACGGAGTAACAGCAGAGACACAACAGTCGATATAAAAGTGACAGGAGGTTAACCATGAATAACGCGACATCGATGACTTTATTGTCCGTTAAATGAATTAAATGATGCAGACTTACCTGGTTTGGTAGAACCGTGCGGTGATGCAGCTTCCCTCCAGCGGTCTAACCTTGCTTTTTCAACACGAAATGTCACCGATCTTTTTGGCACAACGATACACGAACGAACGAAACTATGTTTTGGCAGCGGTTCGCGGCATGTTCTTCCGGCACGAAATTTTTCAACTAAGCTAAACGTACGTTGACATGAGAAAACACGACGGCACCCACGCACTACACGAAGTAAGTTGTCAGAAGAAACGGAGCCGAACTTTCGAACCAACCTACCGATCGCTCCAACCACTACAGGCCAAGTGTAGCACCGCACTGACTGCTCTCGCCGTTCACCAAGGCGATAAACAAACTCGTCGCCTCTCCCTCGTGAATCTACTCTTCCTTCTCACCGTTTCGCGTCCTTCTTCCATCCAACGGTCGACTGTCTTGTTCTCACGGACTATCGCGCGGTGCTGAACGAAACTCCTCTCTCTTTCTTTCTCACGCCTTAGCGCCGGCGATATGATATGATCTCACTCACGTTATCCTCTCTCCGTTATTCTAACGTCATGCGTCCTTGTCGCGCAGGCTCGCTCTCTCTTCCCCTTCTCCAATTTAAAGCCCAGTGCTGCCACCACCACATACTCCCCCCCGCAACTCCAAAGCGGACAACTCGTACCTTGTCACCTAGCGTTTCGAATTTTCTGATATTTTACGCACCCTCTGTCAATGCTGAACGATGCCTCGTAATTGGCAGCACTTACACTACTCAGGAAACTGAATGTCACTCGCGAGCAAGATAACTGGAGTCCATTTAAAATTACTCCATGACGCGACAACACAACGTACGACATGTTTTGAGCCACTGACGTTCTGTACTAACTCCGTCGATATTTTAGTGGCGACACCTACTGAAATCGATTTGAAAACTCTAGTGTTTTTTACATTTATTTTTGTTAACTAATATTTGTACTTATTTACTTAATCGATGTTTAATATCGTAATAAGCATTTTAGTGAACGATTAAACATTTGTGCTTGCAATAACTGGTTAAATTTCCTGCATTATCGTCAGTGGAATTTCTTGCAGGTACCATTGCAATTAGATTTTAATAACAAATTATATTTTAGTTTTATTATTTTCATTCATGAATTTAATTGTAAGTTCAACGTGTATACTTTCATGTTTTCATTTTTTCCACTTACCACCTGTAAATAAACAACTGAATAGAAATTTTAGATGTCTCCAATGTCGCAATTTATCTAAAAGACTTTGTATAGGGCCGCTCCTGGGGATAGTTCAGGTGGCGGTAGTATCTTTCGGCCATTTTGTTGTGTGTCTTTTCCGGAATAGCAGGCATCATGGTACGTATGTTCTAATATTTCTTAATAAAAATCAAAAAAGATATCAGTAATCCGTTATTGAACGTAAAAATTAATTATTTACCAATATATTATCAAATATTGTGAACCTAAAAGTGTATATATTCGTTATGTAAATTTGTGATAAATGTTCATTTTTGTGATTATAGTAATTAAGGTTATGTGAAAATATTTCTAGCATTTCTGAATATCTTCTTGTATTTGTCAATGATAAATGAGCAAAAGGTTTAATGCAATACATATATAAAAGATTAATATAATTTATGATTTCAGAGTCGTGTCAGGACAAAGACGGTCAAGAAGGCCGCAAAGCTTATTATCGAGAAATATTACACCCGATTGACGATGGATTTCCATACAAATAAAAGGATATGCGAAGAAATCGCAATTATTCCTAGCAAATCTTTAAGAAATAAAATTGCTGGGTATGTATTTATAGGTTATTTGTTTGTAAACCTTAAAGTTTTCGTGTCAGTAATATAATTTATTTATTTTTTTATTCATGGAATAGATTTGTTACGCATTTAATGAAGCGTCTCCGACACAGTCAAGTGCGAGGTATTTCCATTAAATTGCAAGAAGAAGAGAGGGAACGCAGAGACAACTATGTTCCTGAAGTGTCTGCTTTAGAGCATGACATTATTGAGGTTGATCCAGAAACCAAGGAAATGTTACAAATGCTTGGATTTAATAACATTCCTGGATTACAACTCACACAATCTCAGTTACCACCTTATAACAACAGACGTTCTTAAAACTTCATTCTTTATATTAAATAAGATTGTTGGTTGTGCATTTTTTAATAAAATTGCAAACTAACATTCTAAAAAAAAACAATTATGTTTTTATACTAATTCCAGTGTATGAAGTTGATCCTGTATGATTGTACCAGTCTTCCATCCATATTGATTTTCACAAGGTAAGCCTCAAAGGAATTCAGAGCAGTTTCCTTTATAAAATACGTAATTTTTATTAAAAAATTATTGAATATATGTTGGTCTTCCAAACTTAATGTATATTAACTTCTTGTTCTACAACATCTTGTCACACTCGTGATGCATCTTACAGACCAACTGTGTCAAATTTAGCTAGTACTTTTAGTATGGTTGAATTTTGAGGTTAATTTTAATTATATGGTGTCCAGTCAAGGAACATTGAATGCGATGTATGCATGATACTTCATTTTCGTTTAATTGTTTTAAAATGGTTAAAATATTTACATATACAGTTTAAGTCAATTTTTTAAACATGAAAAACTTTTCCCGAAAGAAGAAATGAATTATAAAATATCGGCCATTTTAATCGAACTTTGTTTTTCATCAAGAGGGTGAAGATAAAGTTTTTATAAAAACGAAAAGTTTTCTGACTTGCCCACTACAATCGGTTGTTAGTGCATTTTGAATTTCTAACGCTACTTATGTACACTGACAGAGTAGCGTTGAAACAATCCGATGATCAATAAAAAAAGAATATTAAGATCATGTATATAATTTACATGAAAAGAAAATAAGCTTGAATTAGTCTAGCTCTCAGATATAGAATATATTTTAAAGCTATTCCTGAATTTTTAAAAAGTGAACAATGGACATTAATGTTAGAAGTTCATATCATGTTCACATAATACATAATCTAACCTTACATAGTTTCGTTGAAACATCTTTATTTAAGACTTTATGCTCTATCTGTTTTTTGTGGAAATTTATACCAAAATTTAGTAAATGATTTGCAACAAGCCAAACAAACTTTTGAAACAGATCAGGTATGGACATAAGTCATACTTTGAGTATTTCAAATGAAGGTAAGTTTAACTTAACATAGTTAATTTTTTGAAGAACAAAGTGTACAAATACTAATTGTAAATGGATGTATAAATAAAGTTATCCAACCAATTATTTGGTCAGTTGCAACTCGATTGCAGCGCCACTATTTTAGCGTCGGATTGGCAATACAGACCATATCCCAATACGAAGCTACCCCCATCACAGGAGTATCAGGTCCTGTGTATACGACCGCGTTTTTCATGATACATAACACTTTTTATGTATGATGGTTTAAAGTTTTGTCTTTTGTATTTACTAAGAATTTCTCCGCTGAAATTTCTGGTAAATATATTCGATTGAAAACTCGGCTATCGTCCTCAAGTGTCCTACTATTGAACAGTGTGTTTTCCTGTGTATGAAATGAATCTAAAAGTGCTAGAAGATACTTCTAATCAAAGTGATCAGTGACAAAAGTGCTACAAATTTGGAATTCAGACACGTCGTAGCCAGTGAATTGTGCAACGTTAAATATTTCATTGAATGCAAGGCATAAATTCGCTGCTGCATTAAAGTGAAATGCGTTGTTGCCCTGCGGAGGCACCTACGCGCTTGGGCCGGACCTGGCCAAGTTGTTCCGAGGCTGCGCGACCTAGCATGAACCAAGGCTAGGTAGCCTACCACAACCTGATAGACGGAGTGAGATTGAGGAGAAAGTGTAAGAGAAAGAGAGAGAGCGAGAGAGAGAGTAGGTGTAATCGCACGCCTGCGAATGTTGGAACTCTTCGGAGCAGGGAGCAGAAACCGTACAACCGGCGAGTCAGTCGACTATTAGTGGTCTGTGACTCTGGAGGTAGCCCGACCACCGCAGAACCGAGCCCGACGCAGCTCGGTTGCGTTCGGGCGGTAGTCGGGGCCAGTCGGGCGCTCCACTGCTCTTTTCGGTCTGCTCGTTTTCCTCAGTCCGTCGTCGTTGCGCATCGAGAGCAGTTGCATCTTTTCATTTTTTTCGTTAAAGCGAACGAATAGTACCATTTTTTAACGCGCTATGTGACGGATATCACGGGGCACCGTGCGTACCCCGCCTTTTGTACATCATTTCCACCCTGTCCTTCAAGCCTGCCTCTTTACTCTCCTTTACCCAGCAAGAACCGTGAGAGAGACAGAGAGAAGGAAGGAGCACGTTGTAAACGCAGGCACGTACGTACGCAGGCACTCGCCAACGGAGGGGCCACGAGGGCCCCGTGGAAGTGTGCCTAGGAAAACATGGAGTGTCCACATCTTGCTCAAAGCGTCCAATTCGGCGGTAATGACGTAGAAGCTAACTGTACAAAGGATCTACCATTCGTCTGCGCAGGTAGGACCTTACACGAAATCCCTAAAACCTTTTACCCTTGCAGCTCGAAAGAGGTTGCATCTATAGATCGAATTTAGGTGTCTTTCTCCTTTGTTCCTCGACCGATCCTTCTCAGGTTGAATACTATTTTGCACGTCTTTCCGTCTCGGCTCGATCTCGATCTTGATCTTTTCTTTATATTCTATTGTCTCCCATCTTCTTTTCTCTCTTTTGCGTTCTTTATCCACTCTCTATCTTTCTTTCTCTCAGTGTCTGTCTCCGTTCGTTTCTCTCCCCGGTCTTTCTCTTTTTCTTTCTCTCTTTACCTCTCGTGACCGAGGCCCCGGCCGTTCCTCTCGCGGCCTTGAGCCGTCGTAGTCGACAAGACGGGGCAAATCATTTCTATTTTCATTTTTTCAAAACCCATTATATGTATATTTTGAGGAAAATAGGAGCAACGCGTAAAGCTCATCTATTTTGTATTCCCAGTTAGCGTACGCGATATCGATGACACTGACTAGCGGATGCACGATTGTATGTATCAGGAATGGAACTGATCGTACGAAGGTATATGTGTACGTGTAAGTTTTATACGGGTACGACAGAGAGACAACTCCTATATGCTCGTCGTGTTGCGCGGGTGTGTACGTGAAAGTCCACTCCTCTTCTTGATGCATTCGTATACGTGCAAATATAGTTTAGGTGTATGTGTTCGCCGTTCATGGGTGTTTACGGAGCGAACAAGAGCGTCGTCGTCGGCGTCGTCGTCGTAGACGTGCGCGTGTGCATCGTCCTGCTGGGAGTTCTCAGTATGCGGCGCGGTCGTCATTGGAAAATCAATACCAGACGGCACTAATCAGCTGGTCTGAGATCTGTCATTAGAACTCGCCAGATAAACGTGTTCATCTTTCTTCGACATTCCCGTTTCTTCAGCATTTCGTGTGCTTCCGCTCGGCAACCTGTTTCGTGATTTCTCAAAGACCGAGTTGCATCAACGAAGAAAACGTTAGTCCATCGTTAGTCTGTTCTCTCCCTAACCTCTAATACCGCGTCTACCCAAAACAGACGCAGTACTTGATCGCTTCCCTTTAAATCTGCGCTCCTATTCGTCCATTTAGTAATCGATGCCGAATCGCAGGCCTTCTTTTTCCTCTCTCAGTGACCTCCTGCCGTAGAACAATCAAGAAGGAAGTATTTTAACAATCGACCATTGGGGTTCCCTGAAAAGTGGAGGCCCAAATCATTGTTAAGTTCCTCCTAGGAGAGTTGGTCCTTACTTAAATAGGGAATATATCTCGTGTTTCATTTCTTCATTGAAATTAATCCATAGAATCTGACGCGTTTCACAAACAGTATCCATCTCGTTCATCACGCTGGCGAGTAGTAAGAGAATGGCGGAGCAGTAGGGAGAGATAGGGGAAGGAGAGAAATAGTCAAAGAAGGAGAAGGAGAGAGAGAGAGAGAGAGAGAGTTCGTAGAGCATTTTAGCTGTGTACCAGCAACGATGAGTCAGAGCAAAGAATTTTTTGCAGACTTTCGATTGCTCAACTCCGTACTCGTGTCGATTCGCGGTTTCCCGAGTCATACCAGTCGAGATGGTCCATTCGGACCAGACGGATTCTTCGTTCGGTTGGCAGCCGTTACTCTCACGGAGAGATCGTTCACGCTCGGTGAATCGCAACGTATCCAGATTGCAAGATCAATTTAAATATCGCCGTGTTGTATTGCGAACGTTGGTAAGGAATTACCGGGCTGCTGCTGTGTGACGCGACTCGCGCAGGAGAAAAATCGTCCCTCGTGGGCTATAAAAGAACCCCATGTTCCATAGCATCCCACCTCCCCCTCCCCCTTAGCCCCTCTTCTGCCTCTATTCCTGCGCTGCAAGCTGCTTCGGGTACGACGTTGCAAAATCGATAACGGCGTCGTTGCTAATCGGATGCCTCGATATGAGTGGCACATCGCACGGACGAATTTTCGCTCCGGTCTTATGGGTGTCGTCATCCTCTTTTTTCCCTTCTGCCTTTATCTGATCCCCTGTGCATCGGGTCATTCGGGAAAAATCAAAATGCGCAATAGGCGTGGCGAGCCGAATGGTTCGTCACCAGTGATGAAAGAAACATAGGAACTGATGGAATAAAAGAAAAAAACGTGCATACGATCTTTGGGCAGTTGGCTAAAAGATTTAGTAAGTTAGAAACAAAATGTCATCCTAGGGAACTCTTGTTCATCGATTTGAATGGGACTTTTTTGGTTGACTGAAGTTAATTTTCTTCACACCCTTAAGGGTTGATCAGGAATAAATAAGGTGTAATATTATTTTTGTCTTAGATCCCTCTATATGTAAATAGCGTTCGAAGTCGTGATGAAAAAGTAGCCTACCGTAGGCTGACGCCTTACTAACCACGCCACGGTCATAAAGCAGTAGCTTTAATTTCAAATATCTCACGAACTATTAATCATTTCCTCTCAAAACTAAGCGTTATTAGCTTCAGTTTTTCAAGTTCTATCAGCGTGCAAAATGCCATCAAAAAGTCAGCGTCACACCTTAGGCTCTTCCTTCTATATAATATCAAAGGAAACCATCAAGGCATGCAGTCTGCGTTCGGCCATAAAATATATTTCACACAGGAAATTCATGCCGTGCATTTTTCGATAATTTATGGTTGGTTATCCTTTGATCATCAATGATGAGTCTTTCGAACAAGATAAAAACTTGAACTACGGTCGCGGGTAGTACAGCTTAGGCTTCCGTTAATTAAAAGGAACTGTAGAGGAAGAAGTGTCCCACTACTCGTCTTGTTTGTCCATATTCTTTATGTGCGAAGACTTGCTTCTTCTAAGGCTGAAGGCAAGTAGTGGGAAATTGCTGCCCCTACAATTATTCTTAACTAACAGAAGCCTGCGAATGCCTAAGTGCACTCTATTGTTCATAAGTATTTGGACAATTGGTGGAGCCTGACTCAAATGTATGAATTTTACCAACGAATAAACAAAAATTATTGAATATTTCATTCTTTGTAATTGCGTGGATTCGATCTTCTAGAACTATCGTACCAATTTTCATGTACTGTGAAAGTTTCACGTCTTTTTATTACTGGCTTCAGTGTTTATTTTACCACCTAAGAATAGAAGAGTTGCGTCGAACGAAATCGTTTATAATCCTTCTAAAAACAAAAGGAACAATGATTAACAGTCGCAAAACCATCGGTCGGTTAGGTTAATGTACACACAGACGTAATCGCAAATATTGTAGTCATAAGATACGAATTTAAAAAAACCCGACAACGGCCATGAAGTGTTAAAAATGAAATGAGAGTTCAGAACTCGGCATCTCGTCATCAAAGCATCCAATGTGCTTCCTCGTGGCACTTAATTGTAGAAATGCGTCGTCTTGGAATGAGATCAATTAAAGTTGACGCGTAGCACGACGAGCGTTTGCTTCGAAATTCTGGTGAACATCGCGTGCCAAGAAAGAAAAAAAGAATCCAACATGCAAAATCCCGATAGAAGGGTGCGAGACATTTCGCGATCGATCGACTGCGAAGGGGGTGTGTCGAACAGCCTTCCTTCCTTCCATTCACCCCGCTTTTACGCGCTCTCTTAAGAATTACGTAAGCCAAAGAGATGGTATATCTTGGCTTACCAATTTCGTCTTTTTTTGGCTTTCTTTCTAACTTGGCTACATCCCATTATTTCATAATATTCGAAACTCTTTGCCTTTCAAGTCACCTTTAATTATATGTTGAAAATTTGTAACTTGGAATATATGACCTAATGCTATGTCCCACATCCTCTTACTCCAGCACATGATTCCTCTTGTACTACACCCTGATTTCATTTCATTTGATCTCTTTTGAGGACATTAAATTTGACCTCATTTCTGTCATATTAATTGTTTGTAATTTCATAAAAATAGCAAAATGATAGAGGATAAGAAATTTCGTAATTTAGTGTTCTCGTTCAAGGAGGTTAGTTAAGGTATCGTGGTGAAGATTCTGAAGATAAAAAGTAGGCGAGGAGAATGATATTTTTACCGAGTATTTTATTACTGTCGATAGTGTGTGGCACCGAGAAAAGTACGTGGCTCTGTCTGTACTGCGGAGCCGTTCACTGCGGACGATACGTGGCAGGCCATGCGTTAAAGCATCACGAAGAAAATACTCAACACTGCGTTTGCATCGACTGTGAGAACCTTGCAGTATTCTGGTAAGTCGAACCCTACGCTTTCGCCATTCTCCTTGTCATACGATACACGGCCTCCTAGTCTTTTTCGATACAATATTCAACATCGCCTTCTCGCCTTTCCCTTCTTTTATTCGTAGGCGGCAGCCATACTTTGAACACGCTAAAGAAAAATATGTCGACTGTTCGATGAACAGTTTTTTCCTATGTGTCTTAATCATTCCATCGAATTAACAATGATTCCCGTAGCAATCGTTTGAGAAATAACTATATTTTATGCTAACCAAACCACAAGGACCAGCAGTAGAAATAACATACTGCAGAACATGTTGGCCTTCCCTAGGGGAAGTCGCCTCAATACTTGAGAGTTACTACGCATTACGCCTAGGCTAGGTTTGGGTTAAGTTACACAAGACGTATTCGCTTCGGTATTTGTTTCAAAGCAAGTCAGTTTAGTTAATAACCGGTAAAATGGGTGATACACTCCACAGACATAACTCGAGTATTAATAATGGCCTATCACTGGTGGGACTTGTTTCCCCTAGGAAAGGCTCTGTTCTGTGCATTATTGTTCCCTTTCAAAAAACGACGCAACTTTCGGACCAACGTAACAGTATTATAACAAAGGGGATCCATATTGATGGTGAAACATGTTTTGCAGTTATACGTGCGACGAGTATGTCGTCAACGACACGACGACCGGTCAAATCGAGAAGATACGTCGTGTCACGTTCCGCAAGGACGAGCACAAAGAGAACGAGGAGAACTGGAACACGTCGTCGTCGACGACACCGTCCTCGATGAGGGAGAACAGCGACAATGACAACGACGCGGACGCCTTGTGGAAGGCGGAAGTTGTGGTAAGAAACCTTCGGCCGAGGACGGCACGGAAGAGGCTGCACTCGTTGGACGGTACTAGCGGGGACAATCGGCCAGCGACAAAGCGTAGGAGCTCGAAGATAACCAAAGAGAAGAAGGTCGTCGGCCTAAGGAACCTCGGCAACACCTGTTTCATGAACGTCGTGTTGCAATCGTTCAACAACATCAGCCACTTTTGCGAGTATCTCACGCAGATGCCCAGTCTCGAGGGTATACCTTTCGACGAACCACCCACGCACAGGGGGCGAATCGTCACCCCTGGTAGGGCAAAAGAGTTCATGAGCGACGCCTTGTTGGCTGAGGAGCTCAGAAAGGTTCTGTTAGGACTGAATCTTGGTGGCTCGAACGGTCAAGCAATTTCTCCCGAATGTCTGTTCCTCGTCATCTGGAAAGTTGTACCAAGATTTCGGGGCTATCAGCAACAAGACGCTCACGAGTTTCTCACCTACATGCTCGACAGGCTGCACACGGAGTTGTTACAGTTGCTACCCAGACTGGGACACGAACCCCTCGGTCTGCGTGGCAAACAGAGCATCGTCACAGCCGTGTTCGGAGGCACTCTTCTTAGCGTGGTAAGTTCATCCTCGTCGTCGCTCCTCAACGAAGGAGAATCTCTGAGCATTTAACCCTCAAACGGCGGAAGTTTGGGTAAAGACACGCACTGTCGGTGGATGACGAGACTAAGTTCCACCTTTAGGGTTCAGGTTTATTCTACACGTTTTAAGAAGCGTTCCCTCTTACAGAGTTTACAAGGTTGCGTGTAACAGGGTGTGTCAGTAAGCATACTGTAAGTTAGAATTTATTAAAGGGGTGATTTATCGAAAACTGACAATTGTAACGTAGACCGTGGCCACCCACTGGGTGAGGGTTAATGCGTTTCTGGTCAAATTTTGTTATACCGACGTGGAACAACGGGAGGGTGTGCCCTTTCCGAATCAATGATCTTTTTGGAAAGTCATTTTATTCGTTTTCTTCTTGGGAGAAGCGCGGACAAATTATGGATCGCGTTTCCTCGCGCAGGTCCACTGCATGAACTGCCGTACAGATTCCAAGACGCACGAGCCTTTCCAGGATCTATCGTTGGATATACCGGACAGATTGCAGAGACGAACGAAGGAACAAGAAGAAGTATGCAGTCTCACCTACAGTCTGACCAGATTTTTCAAAGTCGAAGAGCTGGCCGACAGTGAACTGTACTTCTGCGATAATTGTATGGGAAAGCAAAGGTCCACTAAGAGGTTCTGGATACACAGGCTGCCTAATGTTAGCATCAATTTATTGTCCAATTACGTGCTACCGTTTTATCCTTTTGGGTTAGTATAACTGTTCTTCCTTGTTTCAGGTGTTGTGCCTTCACATTAAAAGATTTAGGTGGTGCAATTCCTATCGCTCGAAAGTGGACACGCAGGTAGATTTCCCCATGAAATCACTTGACATGTCTGCATTTACGGTACGCGGCATGACTGGGACGAAGATGGGCGCTTCGAATAGCCACCTATATGACTTAGCTGCTGTTATTGTGCACCACGGTTCAGGGTACGTCTCTCATATTCCTTTTATTTATTTTCATCTCATTTCAGGATTACAAGATGTACCAATGTTCTGTGATAATTTCGTGAAACATTTCCGTTTCAGTGCTGGAACTGGACATTACACTGCCTTCGCTGTTCACGACGGACAATGGTTTCACTTTAATGATAGTTCTGTACGACCAGCAACCACAGACGCGGTCGCCAAGTGTAAACCGTACATTCTATTTTACGTGCGGAAAGAATTCTCCATTCCACCCCCTTTGTGACGTTATTTCCCCAATCAGTCCCGTCCTGACGGTGCGAGCATTGACGACGACGACGATGATGAACGGATGTGCAAGAAGTAAGCGAACCTGAGTGGGATGCAACAACCATGGTAAATGGCCGAACGAACGAATAAGAAGACCTCGATAACCGTTTCAGAGAGTTTCTAAAAGAGAAAGGAAGAAATTGTCCCTTCCTTGTTTTCAATCTCATCCAATATCCATTTAGCATGTGTATCCTTTTATTAATTATCTTTTGTTGTCCTGATCGTATTGTCTATACGTTGAAAGTATTACTCTGCATCGTATAGTAATTTTTCCAGATGTAAAGAAATAATTTAGCACGATGTACGAGCCAGCCCCTCTGTCGTTCCAAGCGAAACAAATTTGAAGAGCTCGCAAATGAGCGATCATCGCTCATCGTTTTGTTCATTTTAATCCCCTTTTCTCTTACGACAAACTTTTAAGGTTAGCTCCGTAACTTACCTTCTTTTTCCTAGTTATTTATTGTAGTCTCGATAAACTAAGTGTTTGGATATAATCTTTTATAGATTATTATACACTACTGCTCGATAGTCTTAGGATACTTGGTAAGTGCTCTATAAACCTCCATTGTGAAAGTTAAAAAGAATATTTCCGCCATTATGGACTACATTAGGAGGTTGTGACATTTTGATATTTTTGCTAATATTCCTTTAATTTTTAGCCAATATAATTTACCACGGTCATAAAGAAAATTGGTATTTTTATCATTAACCTACGAATAAAATAACACAATTTATTTAAATATCATGATTTACGTTAAGACTTTAGGTGTCCTAAGACTTCAGGGCAGTGGCACACCTCGTACATACTCGCTGCCCTTTACGAGTTGGCGCGAGTATGGCTACGTGCAACTTAGGCTTTCCTTAGTTAAAAGGAAGCGTCGAGGAAGAAGTGTCCCACTACCCGCCTTGTTTGTCCACGTTCTTTATATGCAAAAATAGGAAGTTCTAGGTTAAGCTCTTCTTAGCCTCTCCCTATGTTCTGCCAACACCAATGGCGAACGTTGGGATTCTCGTCACACCTATCCTTGACCAAGAGAAGTCTATGTTGCAGCCGAGTGTACATGTAGGGTCATGGCGTATACCGAGAAAGCTTCCTTTCCTTTTTTAGAAACAGTCCGAAAGAAAGAAAGAACGTTCTCGAGGCAGATCGCGGAAACGCATCGCCTTTAACGTTGATTTTCTTTATACTCCTTTTCGCTGATTTCTCTCGCGGTCGGTCGTCGGACTTAACGTCCCTTCGTCGAATCGATTAAAAAGAGCTCCTCCAGGCCGTGTAGCAAAATGGCGCGCGCGTAAAGCGCGTGTCACGTATATACATATAGTTTTTAAAACGCGAAAACGACTGGTCTTCTCGGTATAGACAGATTTCTTTCTAGCCTTAGCACGGCATCATCGTTATTTCGTGGCCACTGGCGAAACGAAAATGCCGTATAGAGCGAAACAACCCAAGCAACTCTGTTACTTCGGAGAACACGTGGTACCCAATTTTTATTCTCGACACGCACACAAGTACACCGGAGTCGTTTACACATGTGTGTCTACAAAATTACACGTATGCATTCATATAAAAACACGTTCTCTAACCCTTGCCCTTATTGCTGCTCTCGCGCCATATCCTCCTGCCCCTACGATTCTCGAAGGCTCGACGACTCTTATGTGATTATTTAAAGACTTATTTTTTCTATAATGGTAAGGATAATAACGATAATAAGTTAAAAGAAGCGTAGCAAAGAAACGTTTTATTAAGGCGATAAACTCGAGAATATGTGCGAGAAAAGAAAGCAAAAGAAAAAAAAAAAGAAGATGGAAGCAAGCGTGTGTAACACTACTACTTGAGGATAAATGAGATATGTACGAACGACGTATAAATAAAGAACATGAACGACGACATACCTTTCCTACATTTAGTCTGAATATCCATCGATTTTATAGCAAATGGTATGTTCTCTTTTTTTAAACATATATTTAACGTAACAGCCATGAACAAATTGTTGCTCGTAATTAAATGCATGATTTTACAAATGTACACGTATGTATGAAATTCTTTAACGTCAGGGGAAAATGTAAGAAATATTTTGTACATTGAAAGACAAAAATATCCTCCTTTAATTGTTTCAATGACACAGTTGTAATATGGCTCACCCCTTTTTTCTCTGCAGAGAGAAGCGAGATTTCTTCTGTACCGACGTCCAGTTTTCACGTGGTCGACGTTTGGAAACCGACCTGAAGGAAACAGGTACGATCATTCTATAAAATTGTAGGCAAAGGCAACCATTTCCAACGTTTCTATCTCTTTTAACATTTCCGAATTTCCTTCTCCTGGCAGGTACGTCCTCGTCCGAGTTCTTTGGAACAACAGCCAAAGAACTACCACGAAATTTGACTCTATCCCCTTTTCTCTCCACAGAGACTGGTCTCTCCTCGTTTTCCGGTAAGAATTCTCTAGCAGACGTATCTCGCGCGCTCTTCACGAAGAATACCGAATAAGGATCCCTAGCTGATTTACATTCGTCCAGTTCTTTCTGCGTCTCCACGATTTCCTTCTGCCCTCCGCTTTCAGGACCAGACTTCTCGAAGGTTCGAATCCAGAGGTCGTCTCGATCGTATCTTCTGTACGGACGTTCAGGTGATTTCTTGTCGGAAACCACTGACGACTTTTCGTCTGGAGAATCACCACTGGTACACTTTGGCTCTCCCATACCTCCGTATATTCTAAGTTCCTTTACCAAGGACGATTCGGAGCAACTACCTGTCAAACTGTCATGTTCTTCTCGATAAGCATGATTTTCATAAATGACACTAGTGTTGGTATCCGGCTTCACCTGGTCCAGTTTCTTCGACCTCCTCAGTCGCGCTGAGAATCTTTGCACCAGTCCCTTCATGCCGTAGGATTTAACCTCCCTATCTGCTTGCTCGCTGCGGGTTACGTAGTCGATGATGTCCGCTGGTGTATCCTCGAATCCGGAACCAGCTAGTCTGGTTATGCTAGGATGCGTGTCCAGATGATAATTTCTGTCCGGTGACTTCTTGTCAAGATCCATGTTGGTCAGTCGGCCAGGATGCTTGAACTTGATGGACGAAACGCTTGTCTTCTCTGATATGGTGAAGGGAAATCGGTCTTGACTCTTCCTAAACCGTGGTGAATCCCTCGTTCTTTCATATCCGTGATGTAATTTGGACGTTGAGGAAGCGTGTTGCGTAGCCTCGTATATCTTCTCCGTGAAATAGGTCATAGTGTTTCGTTCCGAGCAGATGTTCCTACGAAGCTGTTCAGCAGCTAACCTCTCCATAGAGAATCGAAGCTTGTCTCGATGGTGAAGCGTTTTTCTCTTTTTTCCAAATTCCTCCTCTTCGGAGGACGATTCCTGGAATATTTCTTGACAACCACCGTCACCGATTTGCTTCTCCAGCAGTGTTGTCCTCCTTTCTTCTGCAGCTCCCTCGCAGACTTCTTTCTCGTAAGTGTTCGTGTACTTTGTTCGATGATTTCTTGATCTTGTCGATGATTCCTGGTCTTCCAAACTGCTTTGATGCTCGTTTTGATTATCTGATGAATTCTGAGTCTCAATGGTGCCCTCTGCCTTGGGTTCAACTTGAGACTCGCCAGAATTCTTGTCGTCGTTGGTACTAACTCGATAGGTCTCATTTTGTGTCCTTTCGGTGTCCTCCGGTCGGTCGTCGTCGTTTGGGATTTCCAAAAGAGTCAAACAGTCCTTAGACTGAGCTTCCTTCGAACCTAAACTCATTCTTTCCGAATTTTCCGACTCAAAAGTTTTGTTTTGGTCCCGCTGGGTGTCATTCATGGACGAATCAGATGTAGGACTGATCGACTCGCCAAAGGTCTCAGCTAAATAATTTTTAGTATCAGATAGACTCTCGCGGAATCTTGAAAGCTCCTCTGTCCCAGCAGATTCCACTTGGCACCCCTTGGATAATGACCGAATACTTTCATAATTCGAAGCTGCATCATTTTTCGCGCGAAAAGACTCATCGTTTCTTTCGGAACACGATTGAAGTCCTTCGGGAGATGATGACACATTTTGAGAAGCTGATCTGTTTGATTTGATCCTGTTTGTTGGCACCTTCACTGGGATCCTCGATCTCCTGCTAACAGAAGATCCACAGGACATCTCTGACCCGTTGAACCGACTACGATTCGTAGGAAAGTTATTTTCAGACGAGTATTCACTGCAGGCATTTACCGGGGTCTCATTCGTTGCTTGTTGTTTTAAGGAGACGTTTGACAGCGCCACTATCAAAGCGTCAGTGTCCAAACACCTCCCTGATGAAGCTTTAGCTGCTGGTGACGTAACATGAGACACTTCCTGTGAATTCAACGCAAGGGTAGGAACGTTTGTAAATTGTTGTCTATTTACAATGCTGTTAGAAGTGTGATTAGTGCATGATTCTCTTGAGGAAAGGTTTTCTTTCGGCTGCTCTGGGAACTTCTCATCAAACAGCTCCATGAACGCAGAAGCAACACTGCTAGTTTCAGTGTTTTCAGCTTCCTTAGACTTAAAATTCTGCTGTTCCTGGTCTTCTCTGGGAAGAAAAGGATTCTTGAACACTGAACTCCTCAAACTGTTTCCTGTCGAAGGAGTCCGCGTTTCTTTCCACCTGGAAGAATCAATGCAGCGTCCGTTTCGAGGCGTTTGCCCCATTTTCTCCAAATTTATCACACTGCATTCTAAATTGTTAGATGTTTCAGGTTTTCCTTTGGCTGAAGAAGATTCTGGTCTAACGCTGCCTCCAAAGGCGTCTCTCGTGGTTCTCGAAGAGGCCCCCATTCGATAGAAGGAATCGTGAGTTATTCTTGAGGAAGACAGAGGCGTTGACATCGAACTCTGAAGGAAATTAATCTCTGAAAAAATTTCGTTTCTAGGAGGATCCGAAACTTCAGGTGGAACCGAGGACCTCCTTGAAGACAGAGGTGGCAGGTGATTAGGCGAAGCTGGAGAGGTAATTGGAATTAAATGTTCAATTCTCTGGATAAATACAGTTTCACGACTGGATTCTGGGTCGCTCCCAGAACTTAAGTTCTGTAGGATCACGCCAGCTTGAGGTCTGTAACCTCCAAATCTCGTGGGTCGGACGTTGTTCAAAGAGATTGGAGAAAGTGATCGCAGATCGACTTTGTTTTTAGGTGAATTTTCGCGCGATGCACTAGAATATAAGCGAAGTAACGGTGGCTGAGATCTGGAAGAATCATTGTCGGAACCGTTGCGTTTGCTACGGTATGGACCTAATGTAGGAAGCGTCCTTCCTGACAATGGAGAATTCAATGTTTCTGTCAAGGTAGATCTTGGTTCAGATTGTGACGACCTGCTTTCGAGCATCGAGCTTCTGTTTGATCTCTGATCGTCGTTAGAGGTGCTTTTTGAGTCTAATACATTCGTTTCGGTGGGTTTCAAAACCACCATTGTCTGATTCTGCAAACGAAGCCTAGCCCTCCTGCGCGCTCTAGCACCTCTTTCTTGAATTACGCTCGAAGATGGTTGCTCTTCCTCTTTCTCTTCACTTTCTTCGATTTTTTCTGCAGTACCGCGGAAAGTTGTATCCCGTTGTTGAGACAAACGTCGATTGATGTTAATCACGCGAATTGTCAGATGTGTTGCCTGGTTTGGTGAGGAATAATGGCGAAGACGTTCTTTTAGATCAGAAGGGGAACTCTCGGCGGAACTACTGCTTCCGCTTATCGCTAGGGTCTCTTCGCCTTCGTTGATAGAACGATCTGCACCATCACGGTTACGTCCACTATTTATTTATCGAGCATTTAATGTTTCCCGTTAGTCAATCAATGCTTTAAACCTTCTGTACACCGTTTTTACTAATAATCTTTTATGATAATGATAATGTAAAAAGAATATACGTATTTAAAAAAGAAATTTTCAAATTATATAAAAATAGAAGAAGAATCAATTTTTGTTAATTCAAAAAGTGGAAATCTGATTATGAATAATAATGAATGATGAGAAGAAAGATGAAATCGAAGGTTTTGAAATATTGAGATGTAAAATTTCAATTTTGAAATTTGTAAATTCGTACCAGTGGAAGAGGATAGGGGACTGGGTGTCTTTACCTCAAAGTTCCCCAAACTCTTGTTGTTATTTAACATATCGAATCCATGGGTAATATTTTGTCGATTTTCTATGCATGGAACTTTTGCAAGAGGTTAGCAGAACCTTCAAGTTGCTTTTCATTCCCAATATGCAATTAAAAACAAAAAAGTATGTCTTGTTTAACGAAGCAACTAGATCGCGTACGTTTTTCTTCAAATCAAATGTGGAAAAATATTTTATTTTTTAATATTGTTTCACGATATTATTGAATAAAAATTATTATAGTATAGTTTTTCTTTCTATTGTTATTAGAAATCGATATTTTCAACTCTGAATTTATTTTTTAATTTTTAGAGCAATGTGGCCCATCTCCCATTATCATCTAATGGTGAAATCATTGGCGCTGTAGTCTTGTTCCTGCAATTTCTATTACTCTTAACACCTTAAATACGCTTTGGTATCATTGAAAGAGGCATGTTATGGATACAAAACTTCTTACGGATTTCAACAAATTAAAAAAGTGAGGTATGTACAAGCAAAAATATACCACCATTTTATCGTTGAATGCCTGTAGCATTTCTTCAATGTTCACCACTAGATGGTGCTAGTAAATAGCTTTCAAGGCATCCATTTATATATACTTAAAAAACATAAAAATAAGACTTGCACAGTACATCGAGTCTTTTAAACCAATTACTTTATAATAATATATTGTTCTTTATTTCTGCTGTGCAAATGAAATAATTATAGCACTCTGATTAAGAACATATACTTAAGAAAACAGTGCTGGGGATGAAAACACCCTCATTAAAAAATGCTAATATTTTTC